ATGGCAACAGTAAAGGCATTACATCGCTGGTTTTTTTTAATGGCTTCCTATTTCGAATACGTACAGCGTGTATATTTACCGTTCCGGTACATGCACTGAACCATAAAACGAGTTGCAACTGCATGTGCACGTAAAACGTTTCTAAGTGTAATCAACACATACCTCCTATAGGCATAACCTGCGCATGCAGGGCCTGCATCAAAACTGTTATAATTTTATAATTTTTTATTTTGCTTCAAAAGTCAAAAATGTTATAACATTTTATGTTCCAAATGGCCGTAGGAAGCTGTGGTATAAATATTAATTATTATAATTGGGCACCCTATATATAAAGGCAATAGCGAAAGGCTCTAGATATAAATTATGGTCGACGCCATAAATAAATAACAAGTAACAAATGTCCAAATCGCACGCGATTGATACTGCCTGTGTTCAAAAAGTACAAAAAGTAAATCAAATAGGCTTCTATTTATTAAAAATAATAAATGCGATAGCGAAAGTCACAAAATATAAATTATGCTTGATGCCAAATACGTACAAAACCAAAAACACATTTACTATCACAGCGTCAATTGTACTTAATTTCTTTTCAGATAATTTGTTTTCCCTTTTTACAACCAATTACAATTAGTTGAATCCATTAAAGTTACAAACAGGGCTACTACCACGCTGGTAAAAACACGTCGATCTGCTATATAACAGACGAGCCATTTTAGGAAAGGGCTTCCATACGTAAAAATACGTAGGTACCTATACGAAATGCAACGCTATCTCGATGGATCAAAATCTATAGCCGAAACTCACTTAAATATTTATAATGCGTTCTGCTGCCATGTTCATCAAACCTAAAATTGGTTTTGTCTGATTCCTGGGAGTTGCTCAAGGCAACGACAAGACCAGTTTTTGCGAATACTTAGATGACCGCGTAACGAATGGCCTACGAAGAGAACACGGTCGAGACATATTTTTTTCTACGTCTCACCGGCTCTTTGGTCGATTAGATTTCTGAAAAGAATGACAAAATCGAAACCGATGTAATCGCGGTTAGTCGACCGTGAATTGAAGGACAAGAGCTTTTTCCTGTTGTAGATTTTTTGTTAAATCAAGTAAAACACGATATACATTAAGCGATGATCATACAACACCTCACTAATGAGTCGGGAATCACGAAACAGTACGATGCATTAGGGAAATACCATATCAGGAATGTCATAGATACATTCTTCCCTTGGTGCATAACATACTAATTTTAAATGTCAAATCTGAACAGTAGCTAGGCAATTACCCTTGAAAAACAAAAAATAAAATTTTTCCTCATTAATTTGAGGAAGTGTGTAGTGGGCAAAAAAGAATTCAGGAAATGAATTTTCAAAATAATATTTCATATTGAACTAACTCACTTCTAAAAGATGTCTAAAAAATTTTATGTATGTTTAATCATAGTATATATTAGTTCGACGGATTTGTGACCTAATAAGTACGGTTTGTCGTTGTTGCTGTTGTCATCTCTCGTAGCTTAGTGGTCAAAGCATTGGCGCGTAAAGCCAAAGAGCCCGGGTTCGATTCCCGGCGGGGGTGTGACAACAGCAACAAATTTTTCCTCATTAATTTGAGGAAGTGTGTAGTGGGCAAAAAAGAATTCAGGAAATGAATTTTCAGAATAATATTTCATATTAAAAAATAAAAATTAGGTTTTTGCAGTAGGTTTTAATAAAGAACATACTTTGACACATTTAGATAATGAAAATAACCAAATAAGCTCGATATGAGCCACCCTACAACATGTAAGAAGGTTTTGAAATTTATCCAAAAATTACTACTACGTTGCCTGATGATTGTCAGTGGTCAACCGTAGATGAACTAAATGTGTACCATGATGTCCCTTTAATATCCGTCCACTTAAATAATTTCGTAGCAAATTGAATAAATTAATGTGACATTAATAGAACATAATTAAATTTGATACAGCCCAGAACAGATCGTTGAATTATACCAGGATGATCTCCCTCAAATTGATAACATTAACGTAAACACTCCTTCAATCATAACCAATTAAATTTAATTCGGTATTCTTCAAACAAAAAAAAGAAATGTGGAGTTTATTTTTAATGTTTAAGTAAATTATGTTTGGTGGCGTTACTTTAAACCACAAAATGAGTAGATACAGTACATAAGGTACATACCGTACCATTTATTCATAGAAAGTTTTACTTCGATGGTGCGTCTTTATCTGAATTATATTCATGCGAAATATGGACGGTGAGCGCGGCGGAAAAGAAAAGGTTAGAAGCGTTCGAAATGTGATGTTACAGGCCAATGATGAGGATACCGTGGATAAAGAAGGTTAGAAATGAAGAGGTATTAGAAAGAATAGGAGAACAGAGGACTCTATGGAAGTCAATATGAAATAGGCGAGATAGGTTGGTAGGACACTTTCTCAGGCATGAAGGTCTAGTGTCAGACATATTAGAGGCAAAAACAGGAGTTAAGAAGAGTAGAGGTAGACCTAAATTGTTAAGGATGTGGAATGTTCTAGTTTTAGGGAAATGAGAAGATTGGTTGAGGATAAGGAGTGGAGGTGCGTGTCCAAGCAGTTTTAGGACTGACGACCTTATGATCGTAATCGACCATGTCATCATCGTCATCATCGTCATCATCATCATCATCATTATCATCATAGGTTTTAAGCCCGAACATCGGTCTAGTTCTTCATCCCTTGAGCCAATCTTCGCATTCATTAAAACCTAGAGTAGCCTAAATCTCTATTTGCTAACAGTCTAGGTCTGCCTCCTCCGAACTCCTAATTCTGCTTCTAAAGTTATGTCTAGCCCTTCATAATGGTAATCTAGGTCTGCCCCTGTTCTTCTGAACTCCTAATTCTGCTTCTAAAATTATGTCTAGCTCTTCATGCCTGAGAAGACGTCCTAACTACCTATCCCTAATTGACTCCCATAACGTCCTCTGTTTTCTCACTTATCCTAATACCTCGGCATTTCCAACCTCCTATATCCACGATATTTTGAACATCAACAATACCACATTCCGACGTTACACACCCATACAAAGTCGAACAATCCTGCATCGTCATTTTTGGGTCACACACACGTGCTGGATTGCTTTTCTAAAAACCCGTCCGAAAAATCTGTTTATTGTACATTGATTGCTGAAATATAAATCGTACAGACGTAGGTCCATTAAGAGTTGCAATTCGGTTCTTCCGTCGTCTATATGGCAACAGTAAAGGCATTACATCGCTGGTTTTTTTTAATGGCTTCCTATTTCGAATACGTACAGCGTGTATATTTACCGTTCCGGTACATGCACTGAACCATAAAACGAGTTGCAACTGCATGTGCACGTAAAACGTTTCTAAGTGTAATCAACACATACCTCCCATAGGCATAACCTGCGCAACAACTAACTAAAGTGTCTACCATGTACCTACAGTACACCAAGTAGGTAGGACTAGCAGTAGGCTAGGTGTGCTGTGGTATGACATGGTTGTGAATTGACTACGTAGCGCAGAAACTCATGTAAAGGCAATAATTTTTATTAATTGCCCGGTAAAGTATTACGAAGAGCTCCAGTCATATAACGACTAATTGGCACCTTCTAGTTCTTTAACTATCTGCAAGAGGCAAGTCGTGTGGTTGTCGTATTTAATGTAAAGACGGAACATTTATCTTGCTTATAATGACAAAAAAGCACTACCTGACCTTATTCATTCCCATTTTAATTAATTACTTCTACATTTCATTACTATTACTTTATTTCATCTCCCAGAGCTGCGGAATCCACAACTATGTATGACATGGTTCAATAGGTGGATTTAGCCCAATAATGTAATCAAAAGAACCTTCAAAGTATGAGTCTTTTCTTCTGAAGGAATCATTCGTATATAGGAGTACTTAAAACACGTCCACGTATTTAAAGATGAATATTAATCTGGTGCATTTCTTAAACATTGAAGGAGTATGGATTACCATGGTTTATCAACTTCAACTACTACCACTCAAGTATTTTAAATTTTATTCAAGTGCGATAACTAATAACCATTCACAAGGTACACAAAACAATAGAAAATATTCAAAGTGAATTTCTTAAACGAAAGTCACACCGTCTTTTTCATTGCACCTTAAGAAAATTACTTTCACAATTCCCTTTCACATTCAGAAACTTAGGAGTTAGGCCAAAAGAATTACTTGAAGAACTTAAAATATTCTCAAGTGCAAAAAGCCAGTTATTACAGTAATTTTAGTTGGAGTAATTTGATCATTTACTTCATCATCATCATCATAAGGTCATCAGTCCTAAGACTGGTTGGACACGTACCTCCTATCCTGAGCTACACTTCGCATAACTTAAGCAAAAAAAAAGTACAAAAACTAACTCTTTGGGGAGTAACTGTGTGGTGGTATTGAATAAATTCAATAGGTGCAAATAGAAAACTAAATCAGAGATGAGATAGGTAAGAGAAGTTAGACATCTTGGGAAAGACTGACTTATCTATAGTTGTGCCATTTGTACCTTTTCTGAACAAAAATAAATAAAAATCAATTGTACATAGTTGCACTATTAAAAATAAAACTAAATTTGAAAAACGATGGAACATGATGGTATATTTTAAAAAAAAAGAAAAACTTTATTTTCATGTTTTACGACAACTTGGGTCTTGTTCATTTACACAAAAAGCTGAATGAAATATTTTTTTTATTGCAGAAAGTTTGTTAATTCTTCAGAGGCATTTTAAAGAATTGCTCCGAAATTCAATTCAGTACTCAGTAGAAAATATCGACGATAAAAGCAATGCTAACGTGGAAAGTAACTCAATAAACATTTACAATATCCAGTATTTAAGCATCCGTTATCACTGCAAATTCGAAAGAAGTCTCACGATCAGTTTCTTCTACGACAGTTTGCAGAATCACAGTGACTCTGCTCGAATATTTTCATAGAAAATTACCTAACTATTACAGGCAAAATATTAAAAAATAACGTACCACGTGTACTGGTCACCATGAAAACGACCATTAGAAAAAACACAACAACGTAATCCATCGAAAACCCCATGGTAACGCCGCTTCACACCATCACCACCACCATCAAGTAGCTATTTCTTTTAAAGTGTAACTAATAACGTAATAACCACTCACAGATATCACAAAACAACAGAAAGACTTCAAAGTTTTTTTCCCCAAACGAACGCGACCACCATCGCACAAGAAGAAAATTAGCCCTCCAGGAGTAAGTAGAGGAACAAAAACAGAAAAACAAAGATGAGCACGCTTCCTATTTAATTAATTATTACTCTTTGCTTCTTGGGCGCCAGCCATCCATTCACTGGTCGCCAAAGTCAGAGACGTAATTAAAACTTTATTAATTAGCACCGCGCGTCTAGGCAGAGAGATGCTGAGGATCGACGGCGCTACGCCAGTCACGACGACGCGACTCTCAAAACCTTTCGCGAAAAGAAGGAAGTTGACGCACATGAACACCCTACCGCTGAACAGGCCAAACGGAACTGGCTGTACTTCACCGGCCCAACTTCGAACAACAGTCGGAGTGTGTGGCGGGCGGTGAGGCGGCAGCATCAGCACCGAAGCGCCTCTTGTCTGGGACGGTGGCTCCCCACTGGTCGCCACGACTTGCGTTATTTGTTGTTGTGTGTGTGAGATAGTCGCCCTGCGCCCCATGTGCACCACCAACAACAATATACACAGGGTGGTCTTTATATAGCAAAATTGAAAATTTATATACATGCATGCGAAGACTCAGTTGGTACAAGGCTCACAACCAGCCTAATAAATCCTTGTTTAGTTGATTTAGACGTTACTGTCCCGAGGGCAATAAGGATTCAACTGATTTCATGTAATTTATGACAGAAAGTAATTGCTTGCTCTCTTTCTAAAAGTGACGCTAAAAGTGAATAACATACTGTCCAAAAATTTCTAATATCCCAGAAGGTTAAAGAATCAAGAAAGTACAGTGATTTGGTTTGACATGATGGCCTACTTTATTATACCAATCTTGGAATTATTATTGTTCAACTTTTTTAGCTGATTTTTTTATCGACACCCCTGTTGCATTTTAAAGTTCCTTGATTGTAGCAGGTATAGGTTATTTTTTTCGTAATTTCGAATCTATTCTCCGTTCTGATATCCACGAAAGGAATAGATACCCTTTTTCCAAAATCCTTATGAGACCCGAAACATGTTTCAAAGAATTGGAATCGTCGCTCAAGGGCTTGGAATATCAAATAGAAACCATTGAATTGCTATGTTTAACAATGAAGACTGTTTTCAAGGTTTCATCATTCTTTTTATTCAGTATTAACTTTACTGTACCACGACTTAGACGTTACAGAAATACATTAATAATCTTACCAGAAATGCTTCCAACTCCATATATTTACATGCACACCCATTGACAACTAAAATAAAAGGAGTGTTCATCTCGAATTTACAAATGATAAGATAAAATGGTACTAAGAATTCTATTTTGATCTTCATTAATAAATTGTTTCATTTGTTTCCGATTCCGAATCTTATTCATAAATGAAAACGTTTAATTATCTAGAATAAATAACAATGAACTTGATTACGCGTGCACCTAATACAAAACCAATTCAAGGCTTCTTCTATCAGACCCTTTCCTTCTTCTTTACTAAATAATATTTTGGTTTACCATTCCTCCCTTAATGAGATAATAATACTAGCAGCATTCAAAAACATTAAAATGTCCAAATGGCGTTATTATGAAGTGGTGCGTCAGAAATCCAAACGTTCAAGAAGTACCAATGTGCTTCACCGTGTTTAGTTACATCTTCCAAATCAAACAAATGAAAAAAGCCGATCCAAGCCCAGTAGCGACAAGCTATCACCTACTGGCAAGCAACTGATTACTCTTTCAGCATTTTTGTAATGTAATCGATCTTCGGGGTCCAATATCCAATGGAGCATGAGGCGACGGATTAAGTAGGCTCATGTAGTTCACGTCACGCACGAGCTTCAATTTATGCACCGTTAATTCGTTACCATCAAGAAGGCTGGCTTGAGACGATTACCTAACAAATTATTTCCGTTCAGCTGTTAAACTGGGCGTTTACATTTTTGACAGCGGCCGAACTAGCACAGGAAACGCATACTTACATATGAAGTAAAAATTTGCCTGTGAATTGTACTGCGGAAATGCAACAGAATCAACGATCGGAACGAATCTAAATGATACCGTACCTGTAGGAATAGTTTTGCAACATAGATATGCCCCGTGGCAAAAAAATCAACCCCATAACGCGGGAGTGCCGACCATGCTGATGCTGTGGATTCCAGCACCCTTGATACGTAAATAGTGAATGCGGAGAACCCAAAACCATACACATCAGACCTAAAGTAGTACACAAATCACCACGATTTTTGTCTTTGTTCTGATAAAAATCTGTGGAAAACGGTATTTTTCCACTCCTCCTGAAAGGGTATTTATTAATACTTCATAAACTAGAAACGTAAAAGGGTGAAACAGTGCTGGGAGTTAAAAAGAATTCCTGAGTTGCAACATGAAAGAAGTTAATTTTGTACAAAAACGATAAATGCCTAATTGTTTGAGACACATCCGAAAAATCTGATTCGGTGCAGCCGTTAAAAAATAAAGATCAGATAATCGAATGAAAATTGACTATGGTCAGCATTTTGAAGAGTGCTTTATTTCTAACCGTTTTAGAAACGGTTAGGTACACTTTGTGGTTTTTGATTGCCAATTAATTGAAAATGGTTACGTAAAAGGCTACAGACAAACAAGTGCTGCAAACAATAACGTAACATATTTTGCCTTCATGGGAATACCATATGGAGAACCCCCTGTAGGATCTTTACGATTTCAGATAAGTGAAGGATATCATTATTTGTTTTTCTTGGTCAAAATCTGAAGACATGTAGGCGACTCTGCACTAGATTTCACTATCTTAAAAACTAGTCATCTGACTGCCACACAGTAGAGTGCCATTGTTGGTCTTCTGGGTCAAAACTTGAAGAAACTCAGGTATCTCTGCACTGGGTCCATTATTTTAAATGAACTCTATAGATGGAATTTTTCTGAGTTTTATTATTTATTAGGATCCAAAACCAATGTCATCATGGGATGGAGTAAAGACAGACACCAGAAAAGGTGTTAAGTAATTTAATTTATTTTTGCACCCTAAATAAATAAAATAGCGCAATTTTGAATTTGAAGCCAATATTTCTCATTACTAAATGCTAAGGTAAAGGTATAGATGATGGGGGTGGCGGCGATCGAAAGAGGAGGTCTCCTCCACCACTGTACCATAAAAAGTTCGTGGCGGTCTCACCCCCATAAAAAGTTATGGGGGTTCAAAGTTAATAAATATGCCAATTTTTATACATTTCTAGGCATGTAAATATTTATATAGTCATTCTTAAACAATATTCAAAGGTAAAACTAATGAAAAATACATAAAAATATTGAGAAAGTTATATAAAACATTATTTAAATATCTTTATCAATAGGGTAGGTTAGGTTAGGTTAAGTTAACGGGTTTTGTTCAAATGACCACCCTCTTTCGATCTCCCCTACCCCCACACCCTTCGGGGGTGGGGAGCCATTATCTAACCCCCATAACTTTTTATGGGGGTGAGACCGCCACGAAATTTTTATGGTACAGTGATGGGGGCGACCTCTTCTTTCGATCCCACCCACCCCATCATCTAGACTTTTACCAATGCTAATTTTATGAATGAAATTTTAAGATGATTAAAGCTACCTTGTTATTTTCCTAGTTTAGCTATAAATATTGTATGTATTTGCTTTCATGAACAGACGACATTTGCAACAGGAATTCCCAGAAAGACATTATTCGAGCGTTGTAATCCCACAAAGCAAATTCTAGCTGTTGCGAAAAGAAAGTATACTGCGTCAATAGATACATCGACTGATAAATACAAGTGCGATAAGTTTTGCAAGTTCCGTCTTTGTATAATGCGTTTACAGACGTTTCTGCAAATAAAACATTGAAAGCATGACGTTCGCCTAATATAAATAGACCGAAAAACCGGAAACGTTCAATGTTTAAACGTTTATTAAATATCCAGTCACCGAAAATAACGTGCGCCATTAATTTAATCTTTGGCTTGCTTCTAGATAACATCTGTGAATGAGGGACGTTAGAATTCAAGAAATTTTAATGTAAATAGGCACGACAAACATAAGCCCGTTAATCATACTCGTTACTCTGTTGACAAATCCAGGCGCAATGCGTGAGTGTGTGCACCCGGCAAACTTAAAGTTTCTATCTCTCCGTGATAGTATTAAATCATTGTGACTTTCGAAACAACTACGACTTGTTATTCAAATTACAACTCTTGTCACTCTTAGGTAAAAGATTTTTAAAAATCGCTTATGAAAATTTTTTAAATGACAGTCAATCGTATATTTTAAAAATGGTAATATAATATTTAAAACTATCAGCATCATTATAAAGTCTTCATTCAGAAGGTTATTAGTTATAGATCGACCCACCTGTGCTCCTCCTAGTCCTAGTAATAGATACAAAACAGTAATTTCCGGGGTTTACCGTAGGGTACAATTCCTTTCAGTTGACCCACAACAGGATTTTTAGACATTAGGTATTTAGAGAGTAAAGTTATACTACTTGAATATAAAGTATCATCACCATCATATGGTCCTAGTTAGATACGCACCTCCACTCATTCCTATCCTGAGTTAATCTTCGCGTTTCCCCAAAACTGTTTAACTATTTACAAACAGTAATCTAATCTAGTCTACCTCTACTTCTCTTTACTCCGATTTCTGCTTCTAATACGTCTCTGACTAAACCTTCATGCCTGAGAAGGTGTCCTACCAACCCATCTCGCCTATTTTCTATTGACTTCCATAGAGTCCTCTGTTCTCCTATTCTATCTAATATATCTTCATTTCTAACCTTCTCTATCCACGGTATCCTCATCATTCGGCTGTAACATCAGCAGTATTTTTGTTTTACTTGAACATAAAGTAATGTTATATATTTAGCATGTTTTTATCAAAATAAATATCTGTTAAGCAAACTAAAACAAAAAAAAAATTGTCTGCAGTAATTAGAAGTATATGTAAAAGATCGGAGTCAAAAGTCAAAATACACCCAAACAATTTTGTTTATGAAAAACCAATACCGACATTTCGCTTCTAGTTAGGAGTCTTTTTTGAGATAGACTTTTAAAATCCAGATGCCTTAATTTTAAACAAGTGCGGTGTGTGATTTTGGTCTAAACCTAGGAGCAGTTGAAGAGGACCAGGGCCCTTTTTATGATTTGATTACGTCCTTGTGAAAAATAACAATAGAGGATTTGCCACTGCGTTTTTAAATTGTTGATTACCAAGCCACTCAAATTTGTTGTAGTCGTTTTATCTTATATCATAAGGATATAAACGCATGTAATCTTTACAATTACACATTTCTTTAAGTACTAATTGAAGTTTCGACAACCTATGTAAGCACCTATAAACGAGGATACTGTCCTTTGGATATACGTTTTGATGACACAAAAAATGTAAGATAGATCTAATAATACGAAGTTATTCAAAATTATCTAACTATAATTGACATATCATCCTTAATCAATAACAGTTTGTCATGATATTAAGTTTATTTAGATAAATACGTCATAACTCTTTACCTTAAGTTCCCACTGATCGTCAGATTTTAACTTGAACACCATTTTACTATGCTGGGTAAAACAACTTTAATAATTTTTGCGGTCCTTCTGGAAGGAATTAATGGGGTAAGCAATACTTGAATAGTGAATCATTAGACAATTTATATTAAAAATATTTCCCTGTTATAGTACAACCTAACCATTAAAACACAAAATGGTTACGTAAAAGGCTACGAACAAACAAGTGCTGCAAACAAGAGCGTCACATATTTTGCCTTCAAGGGAATACCATATGGAGAACCCCCTGTAGGACCTTTACGTTTCCAGGTAGGTGAAGGTTTCACTATCATAAAAACTAGTCATCAGACTGCCGCTAGATACAGTGTCATTGTTGATCTTCTGGGTCAAAACTTGAAGAAACTCAGATGTTTGGCCATTATGTTAAATGAACTCTATAAGTGGAACTTTTCTGAATTTTATTATTTGTTAGGATCCAAGACCAGTGTCATCATGGGATGGAGTAAAGGAAGTAACAGACTGGGCGAATTTTTGTGTTGTTCTTGAAACATCTTTAGCCGGTAATCCTGTTGTTGGCAGTGAAGATTGCTTATATCTAAATATTTACGTTCCAAAAACAGAAAAGGTATTAAGTACCAGAAAGAACTTCTTAAAAGCTCGTACTAGAAGCTAAATTTTGAATTTACAGAGAAACGAAGAACTTTCATTACCAGTAATGGTTTGGTATCATGGAGGTGGTTTTGTGCGTGGTGGATCTCGTCCAAATCCCTCGTACTATATTGAAAAACCTGTTATAATTGCTGCAGTTTCATACAGATTGGGTATCATGGGTTTCTTGAGTACTCTTGACGAAAATGCGAGAGGCAACGCTGGTTTAAAAGATCAGACTTTAGGATTGAAGTGGATCAAGAACAACATACGGTATTTTGGAGGAAACCCGGACAGGATAACTATATTTGGGCAAAGTGCTGGAGGAGCTAGTGTTGAGTATCAACTAATTTCGCAGAAAAGCGCAGGTGACCAGAGCTTTTTTATGAATGTCTTAAATAAAGAGCAGCAGCAATAAAAGAGTAGTAGTAGTAGTGGTAGTCTTTTGAATTCTAAACATCTCAAGACTGTTTGATAATTTCGGTTCTGTTGATACACTGATACATTAATGAAACACAAGCCACTAAATTACCTAAATTATTTTGTTTCTATTTTCAGGGCTTTTTAATCAGGCCATATCACAAAGTGGTAGTACTTTAAATGAATGGGGATTCCAAGAAAACCCCTTGGAATTAACATTGAAACTTGCAAGACGGTTTAACATAACAAGCAATGATACTAAACAGGTCATTGCCGGATTACAAAAAATTGACATGGAAGTACTTATCAAAAACTCTCAGGTTGGTCTAGTACCTAAAGCATACTATTATGTAAGCATCTTCCTATTACTTTTATTATTTTTGCTTGCAGCTTGACGGAAAATTTCTACCGAGCGTAGAAGCTGAAAGCAATGAGGCTTTCATTAGTCAAAGTTCTTACGATTTGTGGGCTGCTGGTAAATATCACAAGGTACCATTACTTATTGGCTACAACTCAGAGGAAGGTGCTAATAATAAAAGTAAGTAACCACAATTCACTGATATGGTCACCATCTATACCATCTATATAAGCTCTAGTCTGATAGTAGAAAACCCTTTTTGGAAATTAGAAATATATTAGTTTTCTGCTTCTTCTATATTCGTTTCTTTGGGTTAAACTTTTCCGAAGTTTTTCTTCTATCTGCATCTTCTCGCATGTGGGGCAATGGTTAGCAATTAAATGTTTGTAGTGTTTTGAAGCAAATGGTACTTACTATTCGTTTCAAGAAGTTGGAGATATGCCTTTTCCCTTTATTAGGATGCGCCGTAGCATAATTCCAAATTCAAAATTCGATCATATTTCTCTGCGTAGCTCATTTCTTCACCGATCATCGAGCGAGAGCTAGACAAAAGTGTACAGTACCAATTGCAAAATTATTTAAACTGCCTCGTTAAAATTTAAGAATATGCTTCATTTAAAAGCATATTTAGCCAAAAATAATAACAAGTGAATTAAGTTAACGTTCTACACACCTATAAAACTTTTGCTTTGTTTTCTATTGTTAATTTATATACATTTTTGTTTTAAGAAATTGCTAAACATTTTCGTCTAGTACTGTACAGTTCTAGCC